ACAGTCAGTAGTGGCAGTAAGAATGCTCTCATGAAAGGATCTCAGTTTTGCTCCCAGCTGCCTGTGAGGCTTTGCAAAGAAAAACAGATCATATCTATTGATCTTAAATGAACAAATTAAGATTCCAGGGTCTTCCAATTCATCTGGAACAAAAGGGAATGGTCAGCATGACTGCACATTTGAATCTGTCTCCAGGGCCAGAGGGGGACCTTCCAGTCAGTATTAAGTTCAGGCTAAAGCTCCACCTTCAGCCTAATAGATGGTTGGGTCATCAAATCCAAAGTGAATTTATCCACCACACAGATAAAGTGGTGGAAGTACTGATAAAACCACTGACTGAAGTCCTTTAGACTCTATTAAATATTTAATCAATGCTGTAGAAGCAGCAGTAGTCATAGCAGTTGCGCTTTTTCCAGAGCTAACAATGCACCTAAGATACCAGTGCAGCACGTCTGTGGAAGGCTGCCACACAGGCTCATCAGCATACAGCTCACTGTAGGGCAGCACAGCTGCTGCAGTGGTGGAACAGCCCACGGGGATCAGCCAGGGGATGGTGTCCGAGGATGTGGCTTCTGGAGCAGCAGCTTCCTACACCCAGTCAGTTGCCAGCACGTCAGCAACTCACATGTCACCACGGCTGAGGTGAGGTCACCACAAGCCCAACGCAGGGTGTGTAGTCAGGTGTGCTGCAGTTACTATGTCTCCAGACCCGGAGCAGCCCTGGGGGCACCTGTACACATCCTATGTCTTTGCACAGCACTGACACCTGCACGTGTCCCTTAAATAACTTGGTAGCATGGGTATCAGTGAACCAAACCCCGGGTCCCTCACACACTCCTGGGGTCAACGAAGTTAGCTGAGCTTTCATAATATTGCCCTAGGGTGATATGAGTTTTATCTCCCCAACCCAACAGGCAATTCTTCCTCATTTCCTTCCTTTCCCAACCCAGCCTCATCTTAGCACTTTCATCCTCCCCAGTCCAAAAAGCATCCACAGAGCAGCGGAGACAAAGTGTTTCATATTTTCTTGATTTATTACTAGTGCATACCAAAATTTGCTTTTCTCTGACACATCACACATTTATTTTGTGCAAAAACCTTGACATATCTGAATCCTTTTGACATATCAAAGTGGATCTTTCACCTTGGATTCCACCAGCAATGGTGCATCCACAGCAATTTGTACTTATGACTGGGAAAGGCAAAAGCACTAGGTCAGAAACAAACCTGCCTGTGTGTCTGCTGAGCAGAGTGCACACCTTGCAGAAACATTCAGATGAATTTTGGATTATTGTCTTGGATGCTGGAAGGATTTTAGTCTTATTAGCAAAATGTTCTGGCTGAGCCCGTTAGCCTAATTACAGGAGCAGTTATATTAGACTAGGGGGAGTTGTATCCTTACACAGTTATAAGTGTTGTTTATTTCCAGTATATCTGCATAAACTTCCCTGTGACTTTTAATGAGAAAATACAGATTAGAAAAGTGATCAGTGATTTTTCCAGGGTAAAGGTAAGAACAGAGATGGATAAATACTCTTCCAAAAATGGGTATGAGGTTGCCTAAAGTCCTTTTTCTTGCAAATCCTTCTCGCTGCTTGCAAATCCTCTTAATAAATCTCCACTTAGTTTCTTCCAAAACAACATTAGGGAAAACAATATATATTTAATTTAAGAATTTTTAAAAATTTAAAAATTAATTTTCTGAAGCTGTTTCACTATGTTTCAAGCCCCCACTAGATACCTCAGATACCACCAGCACAGAGCTGGTGAGAACACAGACCCATCCCTGGGAGGCAGCAGCAGCAGCAGCTCACTGTTCCTTGCAACATCACTGAGCCTTAGGAGTTATTTTTGTTCTCCTAACGGTGAGTGGGAAATTACAGCAGAGAAGTTTTGTGATTTATCCAAGCCCTGGGGAATGAGGAAAAGGGGTTGGGTGAGGGGAAGAGGGCATCCAACACAGAAATCCCAGCATGGTTCCCAGTCCTCTGTCCTGCCATCTCTTGCCCCAGGCATTAAGAGCCAGTAGAATTAGAGCTCCCCAGTGACTAGTTTGCCAGCAGAGCCCTGGGAGGAGGAGGTTGTCACAGGCTACCCTAACAATTGTGTTGCCTCTGGGAAGCAGGACAACCTTTTGTTACAGGGAAATAAGCAGGCCACCACTGCATCTGTAAAGCCCCCTCCCTGCTGTGCACAGCCTCCATCTCCTGTGTGCCCCTTCCCAGGAGGGGAAGAGCTGGGACAACCAAAGTAGGAGGTAGCAGCCAGGAGGGCAGCTTGGTGTGCATAATTCAGTGGATCCCGTGTCCCATGAGATGCCACTGGGCACGCAGTGAAGCACACTGGGACACAGAGCCCAACCCAGGGCATCTGCTGCAAAGGGAGGGACGCGCCAGAGGGGGAAGGGAGGCAGGAGGCACTCACCGGCAGGAGAGCAATGCAAGAGCAAGCAACACCCAAGGAAAGGTGAGCAGGGGCAGCATCTGTAGCATCCCGGAAGCGTGGATCTTCTGAAGCACCCCCAGGGGACTTAGGGTGCTATGAGTTCATGCACATCACTGTCCCGAGAGGTGTGGGGGCTCTGGCCACACCAGCACTGGTGGCAAGTGGTGATCCCAACACCTCGAGTAGGAAAGCAGAACCTGCTCTTGCAGACCCAGCCACTCTCATGAATCAGGACTTATTTGCCCTGCTCCATGTCTATGTTCAGTTGCTCTTACAGAGCTGATCTTTAATATTGGGGGGTTCCTTGTAAATGGGGCTCATGTGCTGCTGGAGTTAGGATGTACAACCTCTCCCTCTCCAAGGGTTTGAGGAACAAGCCGAGGGTGATGCATAAGGCTGGAATGCTCACTGCTCTGCCAGGGCTGGGAAAAGCAAGCAAGGAGGCTTCATCTCCCTTCACCTCCTAACCCTGAAAAGTGCTTACAGCAATCCCTGTCCAGGAAACCAGACTCTGGATGCTTGGGATCATGAGTGAGAGGCGGTCATGAGGCAGCAGGCAGGAGATGATAGCAAAGCACCTGTCTCGGAGCACCTGTGCTCTGCACAGTTACCTGGCCCGGGAGGGTCAGGAGCGCAGCAGGGACCGTCAGCGCTTCCACAGCCTCCAGGACCAGCCTCCTCGCTGGGGAAACTCGGCCTCACGCCGAGCTCGGGAAGTGGAGGAAGGTCTCTTCGCAGCCACCGCCAGCGTGGGCAGAGGCGCTGCCACCAGTACCCACGTAATTAGACACTGTTCCCCGCTCAGGCTGCCCCGGGAGGAGCGGTGTCTCCGGGCAGGGCCCCAGCAGGTGCCGGGGGGCCGGGCAGCCCAGCGCAGCCCCGCTCTGCTCCCACCAACCGCGCTGCCGAGCGTGCCCCGCTCCGCATTTCCAGCCCCCGCAGTGACACCGCCCGGCGCGGTGCGGGG